TGTCAGTACAATAAGGGGGCTCTATTCGAGGACACTGTCAACGACGACGCGTCACCGTTCTCTCTGAGGGACAAAGGAAACAGGTGAGGGGGTTTGAGTATGCCAAGGACCCTGAGGGCTATACCAGCGGTAGCGTAGCTACTGGCAGGGCCTCCCTTGCTGGACAGGTCAAAGGGTAGGCATCAGACGAAGAGAGACACCAAAAACTGATGCCGGAAGCAGCGTCATCAGTAGCGACTTGAAGCACAGAACAAATGATGCTCGAGATGGTTCAAGTTCGTATAGCAACAGGCGTGACCAGAGTGGTTTGAACGGCTGCTGTACTGCGATGTGGAAAGCAAATGGAAAAACTACCACATTATCACTTTTCCTGGATAGTCTCTTTCCAAAAACAGAAGATCGCATTAAGTGGAGGAACTGTTTTGGAAGAGATTGTGGACCTGTCGTCTGACAGATTACTGATGAATGAATGAATGGCTACATCAGTTTTTATTTTAATAACTGTGATATTATGATCAAGTGTGAGTTTAAAATGAACTTCCGTATGACCAGTGTCTTCATGGCAGGATGTGTGTACTGTCTCATATTCAGAGTTGTGTTGGATATGGCCTTAGTTTTGCAGCCGACCGCCGAACTACAGAGACAACGACTATCGCTCGAGATGAGACCTTTGTCCCTGGGATACTGAGGCTTCGGATACCCGGAGGGGACACACTCCGGGGTTTATGAATTGTGGGGTCTCCAGAACTAACACCGTGATTTACCGTTTTAAATTAGAATTGCGTACGGTTCTTGTCAATCTTTACGCTAGTCCTCCTTCAAGCTCACCTCTCAGTCATCACTCCCAGCGTCATCATCACTACTTCTCCACCCCCCCCGGCACTACAGCCCCAGTGGGCCTATGCCTACCTCCATGAACTCTCCGTTCACTTCGGTTTTTCTAGATCTTACACATTCGGTAGGACTCCTTGGGCGGGTGATCAGCTCGTCGCAAGGCCTCTACCTGTACACAAACACAGAAAAACGCACACAAACATCCATACCCTGAGTGGGATTCGAACCCACGATCCCGGTTTCCAAGCGAGCGAAGAGAGTTCATGCCTTAGACCGCTCGGCTACCGTGACCGGCGATCACTACTTTTATTCACACCAAATCACGCTCCTCTCGCTGGCCGTGCTCATCCTGTAACACACCTCGTTGTTCTCTGTCTACATTCCAACAGTCCACTTCCACTTCCTGTAACCGACTTCCTCTTTACACGCACCCTCAGGGAGCTCATAGCCACAGATCCCTAAGTGGCCATTAATGGAAAACAAGAGACAGCAAAGGGTCATGCTAGGCGTCAGTCCCGCAGTTGTTTACCGAGATGTTTATTTTAGTCCTTTAAAGGTATACAAAGTAGACTGGTAGGCAATTCAAGAACCTTTTTGGCAAGTCTCCTACAGCGTCAAATCATTGATTTATCTCTCAACACACTTGCCTATCTTGATGGTAGATAATACTAGGAGCAAACCGGCGACGTTAATGACAATAGTGACACGGTAATCCTAAGGAGGACTATATTGAATTACAGCTAGACGGCCCGGGATGGTACTTGGCCGTATGAGCGACTCTCAGGGTATGAAAACGATGTATAAACTGTCTAAGATCTGAGGTTTTCACGGCGGTGACTATGAAGAAAACAGTCTTCTGGGATGTGGCGTCGTGTAGATATTGTGTTAAGCGACGTTTCGGAGGAAGGTATGGTCTCCATCTTCAGGTTAGAAGAAAAAATAAGAAAATACGCGAGTTGGTTGTTCGCTCGCTGATTTTCTTCTTTTTACTTCTACCCTGAAGATGGAAACCATACCTTCCTTCGAAACGTTAGTTGACGCAATATATACACTGCGCCAAATCCCAGAAGACTACTTCCTTCAATGTATAAACTGGTCATAAACATAATTAAATAATTTTAGCGAGGGACGTACGGTTGCAGTTTTATACTTGTACGTATACTCGTATTTCTTCGAATATTAGGTGAAATTTGCTTTGCCTCAAGTTACAATGACTTTGAATACATAAGAATACGAATAATTCATTCAACATACCAACATTTCTTTTGCTCATATATATCAATTAAAACTTTTCTACTACTTTTCAGCGATTTTCCTTTGAACTATGTTAATAGTGGAAGTAATTATAGCGGACACTAATTTTGAATATGATTCGAGAAGGATAAACCGAGTACGTTTGTCTTAACATTTTTAGTATAATTTACTGTATTACATACGAATGCCTGATTTCATTTAAGTAGGCAGTACCAAAGTAGGGTATTGCCGAATTAGTAGCCCCCTTAACATGGCCACAGACTGTACAGATTGAGAAGAAAAAAATATATTACTTTACGAAAATATTGAGACAAGCTCTCATCTTCTGTGTACGAGGAGATGTTACGAGCAATTTCCTAGGTCGATGGATACACAGAGGAGGACCAGTTGTGTGACCCCTCGTTCTCCTGATCTTAGGTCTTTGGACTATTTTCTTTACGTTTATGTGAAAGACCAGGTGTACAGCCAGAGAGTGGATACGCTGGATGAACTCAAAGCACGGATCACTAAAGCAAAGACATGCTACAGCGCGTCTGGCAAGAGGTGGACTGCAGGTAGGATGTATGCAGGGCTGCAGATGGTGCTCACTGTGAAGTGTTTCGCACCTAACAACTTCTTCACTTGCAAACAGAAATAACTGTTTCAGTTAAGGAACAAAATATCTAAAACAACACCCTAATACCTATTTTAATTCCTAAACTACAAGTGCCTGAAACCCCAGGACTATATTTAGATAGGCTCTGTATTCTATATCTAAAAAAAAAAAAAAAGAACTCACTCTCAGCCCTTTTTGAGCCTTCCTTAGAAAACTCTGCCAGATTGCATTTTATTTTCACTTCTTTGGATTTCGCAACAACAATTTGTTTACAAGCAGATTGTCAGCCTTGAATGCGCCCCCTCCCCCTGGGAGGGCCAGGTCCCTATATGTATGCCCCCCCCCCGACAGGGTGGCCCAGTTATAACACCAGGCGCCGGATTCCCATTTCGTGGCCTTACACGACTCACGTTTACGGCGGAGGTATCCTAGCACGTCTCCACGCGTCTGTAGACACCAGAAAATGAGTGGTCCCTAATGTCCCAGTCTGAAAATAATTCGGGGGCACATAGCTCGCCCATGATCCTCAGAATTTCGTCATAATAAAATATTTTCTGTACTTCCGTTCCCTCTAGCAGAGCGATGTCCATATTCTGTGGAACAGAACCGAAAATCTGAGTCAGACTGTAATTTAATACTATTTAGTCTCGTCATTCTGAGGGACTCATCATTACACCGGCCCGCAGGTTCCCCCCCTCCCAGTGTATACGTGAACTGGGGGGGGGGTATCATTATTGAACCAGCCCAACAGCGATGGCTTCCCCACAGAGAAACTGTTTGTCCAGCCAACCTGTCCGGTCATACCACTCACACGCTGTCGATAACAAGGGGCATTATATTCCGCACTGGCTGTGCGGCTTTCAATGAAATTAAAATGGCCTCTTTCGTAACAACTTTTCTGAATGTTAAAAGCCTTTCCCACAGTACTTCCTAAACACTCGTAAGTACTGTCCTGAGAATTTATTCCCATTAAAATAAATCCATGGCCGTTCACGGTAGCCGAGCGTTCTAAGGCATGTACTGTCTTCGCTCGCTTGGAAACCGGGATCGTGGGTTCGAATCCCACTCAGGGCATGGATATTTAGTATGTGTGTGTGCGCGTTTTTCTGTGTTTGTGTACAGGTAGAGGCCTTGCGACGAGCTGATCACCCGCCCAAGGAGTCCTACCGAATGTGTAAGATCTAGAAAAACCGAAGTGAACGGAGAACTTCATGGAGGTAGGCCTAGGCCCACTGGGGCTGTAGTGCCAAGGAAAAGAAAAACCATGACTGAGCCCGTGAGTTGGAAATGGAAATTATGGCTGTAATTAGGATCAACATATTCATTCGAGAATTGAGGCTCTGCAAGATCACGAACATCTTCTGTCCTTCAGGGATTGTTACTACTGGCTTGTCCACCCGTCAGTGGTCTTCCGCTTCATGCCAAGTCCGACTAACTTACGTTAATATACAGGTTTCATTTCTCAATTATGTAATTGCTTCCGCTTGCTGAACATGTAAATTTACAGTACACGTACAGAAAAAAATACATATTTACATACTTACAGGCATGTACTGTGGGTACCGGCATGTTTCGTAGTTCCTCGAGGACAGTTTCCTTCAATATTTAACCTATCTCGTAAATGCATTTCAAGGAATTTTGTATATAGAATTCTATATTAGTTTCGATTTTTCTGCACAAAAATTCACCGAACGTACCAGCAAGGAATGTAACCAGTAAAATGCTGTCAAATTACATGATTTGACATAGTTTGAATCTGTATCCTTGCTATGTTTTCCGTTTAATTTTCAGAGCACCATACACAGATGGGCGAGCACTCAATGAAGAGATGATAGGGTGCGGATTGGATAAAACTAGCTTTGTGTCCAGTAGTGGGCTCTTGTGATTATCGGCTTCTCAAGAGGGACTTTCCTCTATGTTGTTATTAACATCGGTAATTCCTAGTATTCTCTCTCCAAATTCAGTAGGCCCTATTTCTTAAAATAAAGGAGTTATAAATTCACCTTATTCATGAGATCCGGCCGTGGAGACCCATAGGGTTGTGAGACGTCGAGGCTCCCAAATTTTCTAGACAGTCGACTCACAGATGGCGGTGATGTTGTCAGTCTTACGCGCCCGTCGGCCGCCTTTTACCCCCAGGAAGAATTAGAGTACTCATTTCTGTTAAAGGCTGAGTTGACACGTGCGTCATAGTGCGGCTGGAAGTTTAGGCCAATTGAAGAATCCACTGACATCGGGAATCGAAAACGCAACCTTCCGGCTTTTAGTACAGTGCCTAAACTAACTACACTACAGGGGGCTCCAGTGGATCACTTACCTGACATAATATTTCCCACCAGAGTGAAGGGTAGACAAAGTACGTTAACGAGGAGGTCAGCACAGGCGAGATTCGCAATGAAGAGATTCGTCGGTGACCTCATCCTGGGACTGCAGTATACCACTCCTACCACGAAGCAGTTGCCGACGACTCCGATAGCAAAGACCAGAGTATAGGCCACACAGAAGAATATGGTCACGGAGAGGGAGTATCTGAATTCGTAAATGACGTAGGGCAGAGGCGGCTGGACATCGTGACTCTCATTGTACTCCGCCGCTGACGTCATATTCGGCCAGCAGTCGCAGCAGCTTCTGTTCGAACGGCACCTGAGACACATCGCAACAAACAAGATGGTAAAAGCGTTCGTCAAGTAACTTGGGCAGCAGACGGAACCAGAGTAACTAATACTTCTCTGTTCTCGAGAATGTAGAGTGAAAATTGATATAACCTTGTTGAGTTCTGTGTTCTCGGACATCACGCTATGCGGTCCTAGATAAAAGGAAAGGTAAAGTAAGGTAAAAATATCCCTGTGCGTAATTAATTAATCATCACGCCATGCAGACCTAAGGGGGACTGAAAGTGTAGTTCCATATTTCTTAAACCAGACTGAGGTGAGTAATCAGCTTTACGCCCCTGCCTCTTTTCCCCCGAGGAAAGAGACTTCGGTTCTCAGTGGATAGGAGGCTGGGTGGGCGGGGTGTGTACAAGAGTCGGTCTGGGCACCTTGGGGGAGAAAACGAGAAATCTCTTGCCCTTTGCTATGAATCGAACCATAATTCCTCGGTCGCTTTGCCGACTGAGCTATCCCAGCTAGAACTCATCACCGCTGTGCAACTGATCCACCGATCGCACTGGCTCTAGTCGGTCAGCGCTGGGACTCCTCGAGGTCTTTACGGGCATTGGCTAGATTCGTTCACTTTTAGAAATTCAATAAAACGCCTTCCTGATGCTCCAATGTGAATTGATTTCTTTATAATTTAAACTCTCGTTGCCAATGACTTGGACAGTGTGGGAAGACCGAATATTTAACGTGGAAAAGTCTGTGCAATGATTCGGATAAGGAATTTAGATGCTAGATACCGGACAGTATGTTTCGGATCTTGGGAGAATGCCTGTCGGAACGCAACAGCCTGCCGATTGGCAATAATTTGAATTAGGAAGGCGGCTCAGAAAATTTGTTTAATAAATAAACGTAGGCGTCCGTGGCTCGAGTGGGATTGGAACCCAAGATCCCCATGGTCATGCTGGCAAAAATATTTCAGATCTTATACTACACGGCCATTATGATCGGCTTTCTGATGTTTGCACGAAAGAATTAACCACCACGGCAGTTACTCCCACAGTCCTTCCGAGCATCTTTCATAAGCATTAATCGTCATAATATATTTTTAGACAATCCGTAAAATCAGGAATATAACCAATCACACCACACCTTACATTCTGAAACACGAATTGCTGAGAGAATAAGCTATATAGGATCAAGTCGAAGTTAGTATTTTGTACGTGTTTTACTATAAAGACGCAAAACTCGGCCCCTTATCCTAAGGTATGTCATAAGGTGAGAATGTTCGCCAGCAGGGTGTACAGAGCATATGGGTCCAAAAGGGAAAGTAACATCGTCGTGGATAACATTACATAAGGAGAAGCTGCATGATTTTACTGCTCATTAAACATAAATAGGGAATGAGACCAAGGACGTTAGAATTGACGAGACATTTAGAAGAGGTACGGGCAGAAGAGAAACAGATACTAAGCAAGTCTGAAGGGAATATATTACTATGCAGACCTAGACGTACAAGTGAAAATTAAACATGCGGGTTGTGAGACTGGGGATTATATTCACCTGAGGAGTTTTATCTTCTGGGACACGACGCCGTGTAGTCCGCTGAAAGTCATCCAGCGTGACGCAGGTAGAAAACAGAGCTTGCTTCACGCTGATTTCTTGCGTGGCTTATCCTTCAACCCTGAAGATGGAGGTGATATGTTCCTCCGAAAAGTCGGTTGACTTCCAACGCACTACACGGCGTTACATCCCAGAAAGTAACAACCTTCTTAACCACTCCTGCAAGAACCTCAAACCCTATATCGATTCGTCTACCTCAGGATAGATCCAATGGTGGGCTCCTGTGAACACGACAATGAAAGTCTGTCATTCGTGAAGTCGGAGTTACGGTCAGCTGACTGAATGAGAGCTTCTGAAGAAAGACTCTGATACATCCATCCATCCATGCTTCCATCCATCCACCCATCTATCTATCTATCTCTCTATCTATCTATCTCTCTATCTATCTATCTCTCTATCTATCTATCTCTCTATCTATCTATCTCTCTATCTATCTATCTCTCTATCTATCTATCTCTCTATCTATCTATCTCTCTATCTATCTATCTCTCTATCTATCTATCTCTCTATCTATCTATCTCTCTATCTATCTATCTCTCTATCTATCTATCTCTCTATCTATCTATCTCTCTATCTATCTATCTCTCTATCTATCTATCTCTCTATCTATCTATCTCTCTATCTATCTATCTCTCTATCTATCTATCTCTCTATCTATCTATCTATCTATCTATCTATCTATCTACCTACCTACACAGAACAACACAGACAGACATCCATGACTTGAGTGGGATTTGAACCCATGATCCCAGTGCTCGAGCAAGCTAAGACATTTCATGCATTAGGCCGCACGGCCGCTGTGTTCGGGTACTTTGCCGTATGGTTGTTGGTTATTTAACTTGTACACAAGTGTCCATGGTACGTAACGGGAAAGTTCACAGTCAGTTTTTCATCGTGTTGTCTCTTTACTTTATGTACTATCTTCTTCGCTAATAGTATGCAATTGAAGGGATTCATTTGTCCTTTATGAATACAATATGGTGAAGGCATGCTGTGGTCATCAGACTGGCTGTACAGGATTGTGTCTGGCGGCTTCCCTTCTGTAATCGAATCAGGCGTGCAACCTAACAAATGAGCAGAAGTCCGCAACAAGCAATCGAGTGCGGCAGTTGGCTGTGCTGTTCTGACGACTGCAGAGGTAACGAGGTAATTGCTTGCCTCTCTGGCTTACTGTCATGCTAACCATAAAGCTTCAAGAGGCCTAAAGACTTCTGTCAATGCCCGACATTGACAAACCTGGCTCCAGGACGGTGTTTCAAATGGAATTCGAGGAAAATTGACTACAGCTTCTTGAGTTTTCCTAGGGATTTGACGGTAATTAAATGAGTTCCAGAGAAATTTAGTTTCTCTCCATAGCATTAAATACAATTTAATATTTGGTATTCTGAACATTCATTTTGCTTGTTTTCACACTCTATTCTGTGTTCATACATCTTCAGAGATGAACAGCATTGTTATTCAGCCTGAACTTACTATGTTCTTACAATACATGTAATCTTATATTACTAATTGTATGTTGTAAACAAGAACCTGAAATTACCAATTAAATATTTTGAGCTATACTTTAAAATCGGGGATCATTTAACAATGTTATAATATCATTAATTTTATGCTTTAAATAACGACCCGTGCCTATTAATTTGTTGTTCTTTTTTAATTATAAACTCATATTTTTAATAATTATTTGTTTTAACCTAATTCAGAAATAGTTTCTTTAATATTTGCTAATTATGTTATGTTCTTCAGATATATAGGTACAATGTTGAATTTCAGTTTTAAAAATCTTGGTTCTAGTATAGAAAATATTTTCCTGCCATTTGAACATAATGGCATTTTCACGAGCAGGTACTATATGTATAACTAAAACCGATCGTCGAAAGCCGAAAATAGGTGACTCTCTAAATGTCGCTATGGGAAATAAATTTAGTGGTTTCAGGTATTACCGTATTGTAACTGATTGATCATTGTTACGAACGATGAGAAGACTATAAATATATAATTCCATTGGAGTGAAAGTTAAGAACAATAAATGAGTGAGTTTTACAATTGTTTGTTTTCTTTTTAAATCATTCCTTATAATTCTGCTTAAATGACTGTCCTTTATATTCATTTGCAGATAGCGAAGCCCACATTCTGTTGCAAAGCTAATCACACTCTAAATACCAAAGTGCATAGAGACAGAAATAAACTTTCCTTATACTTAATTAGTCATAACTTTAACAAATACTTATCACTAAATCTGATGATCCTGTTGATTTATGCCATATAATTTTTTTGTCTCATGAGCTTTTCTCAAGAGAATAAACAAAATCTGATTCTGAAATCAAGTAAAATAGGTGACAAAATTTTGTATGTTACAGTCAACACGATTTTGTAAATATCAATTAAGAGGCATATGTTTCGATACAAAACTTATATTATCATAACACCCTTTCTGGCTAAAGTATGTGGGAATTTTAAATCTTGATACTGATTATTTTAATTGTATTTATGGATGCCCCATTCACATATTTATGGTATATATAAATTTATTTTATAAAGTAACACGCAGTGAAACTCTTACAACTGATGAAATTCTTTTAATCATAGAAGGTGAATATTAAAGGAAATTCGTGCCTCTTATGTTGCTGATATTTTCAGTTTGACTGCACGCCCAGGTCCTGCAGGTTAACACGATGGAAGTGTAGCGTTAGGAAAGTTTTCTATAGTTAGCAGTATATCAATTCGTAACCAGCTGTACAGTAATGTATTATATTGAACTGACAGAAAAAAATCAATTAACTTAAGTTTTAAGAAGAATGCAGTCTAACTTAAGTTTTAATGTTTAAGTAACTACGAAATCCGTCAAATATATTCAGAGATCAAGCTACAGACGGACAGACATTCTTCTCTATTTCATTCTCAAACACACCGTGCAAAAAAGCATAAATATAATTAATGGAAACAAATTTTCGTATTTTTAATTCACACTAATATTTTATGAACATTAAACTTATAATAATATTTATGTTTATGTTTATATCATTATTTTAGCAGTTGAAATAACTGTGATTAACTCACTATTTGCATAATGCCATCAGTAAGATGGAATCAGAAATGTCCTTTAGTACTTCCATGGGACTGTCGGTAAGACGAAGACAAGAAGACTATCTTGCCACCCACTAGACTTACAACTGTGTATGTGTTGTGTTGTGCAGCGGCAACTTTCATCTTGTGTCATCTGTTTACTCAGCCGCGTCAAGCCCAGTTCTCTGGCAACATTGCACTTAACAGTTCGATGATTTAACACTTGTGTAGACTGGTTCCTATTTGACAAGGTGCTGGAATTTTCAAGTCCGGTGTAAAACAAATCCTGTGACAATTATATAACTGGACTGACTCTGCGTGTCTATCTGTAACTTGAAGTGTGGCAATACATATCAA